GAAATCCTTTCAAGTCTCAACCAATGGTGTGTAGAGCATCATGGTTTGCTATATATTAGTAGATATTGTGGCCATTTCACGTGGGAGCTTTAAACAAGGATTAGATCCTTTAATCCTTGTTTAATCTCCCCAAAGTAGAGCTAGCTGTTGGAGCACTCACGTGCCAAGAAAGTCAAGGGGGACCTTGGAATCGTTACAAATTGGACAAAGGGAAAGCCAAAGGACACCCCTTTTTGGGGAGTTTCAAAAGTGTATTTATTTCACGTTCAACTAATCCTAATTCTTAAATTAATTATTTGTTAATCTTTGACGGATTCCCGTTATGGCGAGAGAAAGGCTCTTAACACATTCTTCGAGACCCTTAAAAGGGGACCATTTGGCACGCCATTAGCATTACACCAAAGACAAATCCAAGTATAAGAGCAATAAAGAAAGAAACTTCTAAAATTCTACGGGTTTAGAAAGAAAAGACGAGGGGAATTTAGGGCACCAGCTTTTGAAGGTGATAGAAAAAATTATTCTTCTCACTTTTTAAAAGATTTGCATGAAAAGAGGGAGAATGTGTCACGGGTTAAAGAAAGTGGAAGGGTTTACCAAATGTGTTACGATAACATAGGTCACATGAAAACAAGAGACTATTCTTTGTATTAGTGTTTAGAGAAGGGGAGTAATGGCTTTGTCTTACACATGGGTTGACCATTAAGGTAAATTTGATAATGCAAGGCGGTGCGTTAACCCTATGAAAACAAGAGAGAGAGAGAGAGAGAGTACACCAATGTTTGGCTAAGGCCTTGGCTTGAGTTGAGTTACTCAGCGGATTCGCCCTTAAAAAGTTAAAAATATGAACTTAAAATAAAAATAATAAAAACAAATCACACCATAAAACAACATAAAAAGGTTAAAATAATTTGAAAAAGTGTATAAAGCACTCATCTAGAAAATTTTGATTTATATTTTGAGATATATAGAAAAATCCAAAAAAAAAAGAAAATTAAAAAAATAGGGCATGTGACCAAAAAAAACCTCACAAGTTATTATTAAAAGGAAAAAGTTTATATAGAGCCTAAGCTCTAAACATTAAATTAGAGCCCACCTCAAAAATTTAGTTAGAAGTGGTTGTTTTGATACCTATATATCCTCAAATTGATCATCGCAATATCAAGATGCATGGATATAAAAAAAATAGATTTCAAGCATTGGAAATAGTGCATCTTGTAATGCATTTTTGGATCGACAATTTTCAAGTTTTCATAGATATGCTTGATCTACACTATTTTTTAAGCTTTAAATTTTCTAATTAGAGATGAAATCTATTTTAAAACTATGACAAAAATTTTCAATATTGAAACCACATTTCTCGATACTATTTGAAGGTGAGCTCTACTTTGATTGTTTAGAGCCTCGACTCTATACAAACTGCACCCTTATTAAAAGCATCAATAAATAAATAAATATATATATATATATATATATATTTATGAATTTTTTAGTCAATACAAGTTGTACCCCAGTACTCGGTTAGGCAATGGCCGAGTCCAATGGGACTCGGCCAAGTTTGTAAACAATGAACCTGCCATAATGCTATGTTGTAGATAAGGAGCCTGGATATTATTTGTATACTGTAATATGTTCATCTTCCTAATAGTGAATCTCTACCAAGAGAGCACTCTCAAGGGATTTTTAAGAGATGGGAAACCGGCTTCCTACCATGCAACATTGCCACTTTTTGTACAATAATATAAGATGAGACTATTTATTTTTGGTACAAGGTCGTCACATTAATCTTGATTATTAGATGTGAAATTTGGTGACTACAATTATTTCATTACCAAGTTCATACTTCAAAAGTAATTTTTTCGTACTTTGTGACACATCCAAACTATCAAATTTCACATCAAATGGTTGTAAGTAATTGTGACCACCTTGTATCAAAAGTAAATGGGTCACATTGCATAAAAAAAATCTATATCCGGATAAAAGATTTCCTCTTTAACAAACGTGCTCTCAAGAGAGAGATTTTCCAGCTTATATTGATACATTTTCCAGCTAATATTGATTTAACACGCAAGTTATTAATCCGAATTGGGTACTATTGACGCTATAAGTAAGAGCGATACTTTATACTACGTCAGCTACTTTCCAACACCCTGTAATAATAGAAGACAAATCTATGTCACTTTCATTTGACTAATGATATTATGGAAACCTGATACGGGTACTCTTGTGGGTGTACACTGTACACTTGGTCGGTCAGACCAAAGCTTTATGAAGGAGTGTTCTTTGGATTTAGAATTTTGGGATTCACTTTATAATCACCAGATGATTATAATCTACTAAATATTTTATTTTTTAAACATTAACTTGATCATCAAAATAAATAGATAAATAATTTAGGTGCACAAAGTAGGTTGGGCTGTTTTTCTTTTTTATTAGGTTGATAAGTAATTTTGTGAAGTGACATCTAAATTTAGGGTCAAGGTTTCACTCGGTGTTCTGAAACTCAATGGTTACTCCCTACAATCGTTCTTATTATGCATTCTTTTTTCCTTTTTTAAGCTTGTCGAATGTTTTTCGTAGGTTCCCTTAGATCTCCATTCCATAAACTCTTATTTTTAATTTGACTTTATTAAATTATTTTAAATTAATAATTCGGACTCGATCCAAGATTTCCGATGACTGACATGGATTTGTGGATGAACGATCAGCCCCACTTATCCAGGTTCAAATACACTGGTCTTATTGGAGGTAGTAAATGCACAATATGCTCCCTCATGAGCACACAATCTTTTGAGCTTAACGAAGAGATTTTAAACTATTCCGCCCAAATAAATACAGATAAAAATAAAGCACAAAAAAATTAAACTCTAAAATTTTCAATAAACTTTTAAGAACTTACAAATTCATCATCACATGGCTTCAGTGTGAATTTCTAACTTATCTTTTTTAAGAATGCTTTTTAATTTAAAAAATCGTGAAAAAAAAAGAATACAACATGTGGGAGAATAACATATTACTTGCACTAATGAAGTAATAATCACCAAATAATAAATCTAGTAGACCAACTTCAAATACTCAACGATGAAAAGTTTTGCATGAACTAATAAGTTAAGCAATTTTTTTATTCTCCAATTAATAAAGTGAATCTTTTGTTGACAAGTAATAGCTCATTAATTAAAGTGCACACGAGCAAGAGGGTCCCTAATATTTTAGCTGCACTTGGAGGAATACAGATTTTAGGGCCCTACTTACCGGCACGTGTGTGCTAGTTTTAAGTAAGCTCCCCTAAGAATCAGCTCTAATTTAGCGGTTTTCTATTTTTATTTCCTCTTTTAAATTTAGCCAAGCACAAGTACAGAGAGAAAAGGGAATAAATAACACAATAAATTTAAAAGACCAAACGGCCCATCTCAATGCACAACCCGTTTCTTATGAATAGTTAAAAGATCGGAATATTGGAGGGATGAGGTTTTTATAAGGCCTAGGGTTTATGAAAGCAAAAGAAAGCCTCACCCTCAAATGCTCATCCAAAATGCACTTTCCGGAGCAAAAATCTTTATGATGGCTCTAAAAGCAATTTCCCACACTAACAATAAAATATAGAAATGATGATGAAAACAAACTTCCAGATCCCACTATTTATAGATAACTGGTTGGCAAGTCTACTTTATCTCATTATGACTAGTCAGAATATATCTCATGCAATAGAGGTCGTCTACCAATTGTTGCAGATCCTCGTTGTATCCATCTCTCGACAGTCCATCGTATCATTTGTTATTTACGGGGTACATGTCATAATGGCTTATTATTCTCCTCTAACTATTATCTCCAGTTTACGAGTCCATGCGGATTTGCCTCAAATCCAGTGTTCTATGATCGCACAAAGCATATAGAAGTTGATTGTCATTTCATTCATAAAAAAATTATGGCCGGAGAAGTTACAGTCCCACATATTACCTCATATCAACAACTTGCATATATTTTTATCAAGATAATGACTCATGCTCGTTATGATTATCTTATTGACGAACTGATGTTGTCCAACCAACCTCAGTTTGAGAAAAAGTGTAGAGATAGTTATAGATTTTGATTTTTTTTTATATATATCATATATAAAAAATTACTGACTGTAATTTATCTTATTGTGCAAGTTACATCTGGTTGTATTATATATCCATATTAATAATAATCAATAAATATATATTTTTCTTATATCTTTCGTGTCTTTAACATTAGGTAGGGAGACCGTTCTTTTACAATAACTAGGAATCGACCTAACATGGTGGGAATCAAATTATTTATGTTAATGACATGATGAATCGGCCAAATCGAACTTTTTAATTTATTATTATTAAAAAAATTAGTACTTTTTACCCGGATAATTGCATTCTGGATCAGCAATCAGTGATTGACAATCCATTTTAGGACATTGGGCCTGAGTGCAATTTCAAGAAGTATGAGGGCGAAAGGCTTCGGCATAATACATGATAAAAGTATATTGGATAAGACGTTACATTGGTCATTTGATAAAAATTTAGTACATTTCCAGATAAGCCTATAGTAAATGGAGAAAGTTTAGATAGAGCCGAGGCTCTAAACAATCAAATTAGAACCAACGTTCAAAATTCCCTAGAAAAGGTTGTTTTGATGCCCAAATGATCATCTCGAGATTAAGATGTATCGACATGAGAAAATAATGGATATTAAGTTTTGGAAATAATGTATATTATAAATGCATTTTGGACCATCAATTTTCAAGATTTTTTAGCTGTTATAGATATACTCAGTATACACTATTTTTTAAGCTTTAAAATTTATAATTAAAGATGAAAACACAATTTAAGTCGATCACAAAAATTTCCAGTATTGAAACTTCATTTCTCTACACTATTTGAAGGCGTGGTTTTCTTTGATTGTTTAGAGCCTGGGCTCTATACAAACTTCACACAGAGTAAAAAAAAAAAAAGGGCGCCAATATAAATAAAAGCCGGGAAATGTAGAGTCGGCTCATTCGCTGGGGCAGGAGGGGAGGGGGGAGCCTTGCGCAAAAGGGCACACTTTTCTGACTCTCTCTCTCTCTCTCTCTCTAAGATTACTTTTCTCGCTCTATAAAGTCTAAAGGTGGTGCTTTTCTCTCTTTCTCTCTCTAACTGTGAAACACTACACAGCAGGAGACTCATCTGGTTCCAATATTATTTTTTCTCATTCCTTTTCTCCAATGCACATTAATATTTCGTAACAAAAACTAAAACAAAAACCGAAAAAAGTTGCAGAGATTTTTCACGTCGAATGATACCCATCGGATGTTTAATCAGACAATCGGAAACCCGTAAAAATGGCGGCCTCAGGAGAAAGCCTAGAGAGCTTCCTTTGTGGCGAAGACGCCATGGACTGGGACACAAGCGACGACGCGTGGAGCTCTCCGATTCCGGCAACTTTGCCTGAAAACTCATTTTTACAGGTCGGTTTTCCGGATGAACCAGAGGCCGACTTTGTAGCTTTGCTCATTGATAGAGAAACCCTTTATTTGCCTCAATCTGGTTATCTTGAAAGGTTCAGAGACCGAACTCTGGACGCCTCTTCTCGCCATGTCGCCATTAATTGGATCCTCAAGGTCCATACTTATTACCGGTTTGGACCTTCAACTGCTTGCCTATCGGTGAGCTATTTCGACCGGTTTTTATCGGCACACCAAATTCGGGTAAGTTTCTGGTATCCCGGCGGCTTTTCCCGTGGTTTTGGTCGGAATTATGACATGGGTTTTTTGTTGTTTTGTTGGTTCGTAGCATGGGAATGGCTGGCCTTTTCAGCTTTTATCAGTGGCTTGCATCTCCTTGGCCGCGAAAATGGAGGAAACAAGTGTTCCCTCTGTTCTGGATTTGCAGGTCTGTGAACCCAAGTTCATTTTTGACGCCAAAACAGTGAGAAGAATGGAGCTTTTGGTAATGGCGATCCTCAAATGGAGGATGGTATCAGTCAGTCCACTCTCCTTTGTCCACTACTTTTTGGGCAAGCTTGATTTGACCTCAAAGCTTGAACCGATCCTTTTTAATGGCGTTTTCCAGCAAGTCACCGAGATAATTCTCAGCACAAATCGAGGTAAAAGACAAAAAAAAACCCTTAAATTTACCAACATTTTGTTACTGGTAGTAAATTTACTCCATTATCTTGTTATTGATCAGTGATTAATCTTAATTTCTCTGTTTCATATTTTGATATTTGTGGTTTGCTATTGAATAATTTGCAGTGATTGATTTCTTGGGTTTTCGACCTTCTTCAATAGCAGCAGCATCGGTCCTTTGCGCAGCGGAAGGAAGCTTGGATTTCTCGCCGAAAATTGATGCATTGCCTTCTCTTTTCGGCAATGGCGTGAGCCAAGTAATCTCCTAATTCAAGAAGAATAAATTAAATTAACAGCCACACAACTCAATTTATTTATTTCTCTCAAATATTCAACAACATGAAAGCTTTCTCACCAGAAAGCTCACAAAACTCGCTTCTTTGTTACTCTTTTCGATCAATTGAAAGAAGATTTTTTGTCGCAAAAACACCCGCAAAACCCACTTCATTTGTTTTTTCTTTTCTCTTTATTGAAAGATTATTTCTTTATTTCCTCTTTATATGAAGATTATTTCTTCCCCACAAGAATCCTCTTTTTTTTTGTTTTTCCTCTTTCTCTTGAAAAATTATCCTTTCTCATGAAAAACCCACTTCGCTTTCCCTTTATCTCTACCCATGAAAAAGTAATTTGTTCTCAGTTTTTTACTGGGTTCTATTGCCATGAAAATGCAGAATGAGATCTGGAGTTGTTACAATTTAATGCCAGAGCTCCTGGTCCACGTCCTTAACAGGGCCTCCATGGTCAAAAGCTTAAAATTTAGAGATCCAGAAGAGGCAAGAATTCCTCAAAGCCCGAATGGAGTTCTCGACATTGCAGCTTGTGGAAGCTGTGACAGTCAGAAGTCTCTTGTTGAAATCGCAGGCCCACCATTGAAGCGTCCAAGACTGGGAGATCATTGTACAGAAGGAGCCATAGATACCAATATTAGTAACAGTTGAGTAATGTAAAAAAAGGAACCCCAGATTTTGAAGATAAAAAGCGAACGATTCATGGTGGTTTTCTGCAAATTTTTTTGGAATCTTAGTCAAGTTTATTTATACGGAAGTTAAGTTAAAGAGCCGAGGTTTCCTAAGTTAAATGAAAAGTCAAGAAATTTATCTATTTATCTCCTTTTTCTTGGGTTTTTTCAATTCTTGTTCTTCGCTCTGTGCCTATGTTATTGGAATTAAATGAGAGAGAAGCCATGTGCTTGACTTTGGGCCTATATTTACAGGCTTCTTTGATGTACTATGTAAAATGGTGGTTCATTATATAAATATTTAAGTGATCATTTATTTGTGAACTGTAATAAATAATAATGAAGAAAGGCAAGAGAAAACAGTCAGTAAAAAGAAGAATAAAGGTCCTTTCTCTCTCTTGTTTGCAGTCTCTCAATTCTCTCTCTAAAACTCGTCAAAAAAAAAAATCTCTAAAAATTGAAGTGATTTCAACTCTTTCACGGGTCGTGCGAGGAGAAAACTATGAAGAAGAGAACAAAAAGGTCAGATGGTTTGATTGGATATCACCCCAACTTCCCTGACAATGACCTGCGTGTCCTTTGGAATGACCGTTGTATTCGTCGATCATACTTAATGGTGCCTGCGGTGGCCCTCACTGTACTAATCATAGTAATGTCTCAATAAAACACGATTTTGACAAAAAAAAAAAAGATGAAGTGATTTTTCAAAATCTGTTCAGATCTTTTGGGTTTTTCAAAAGATCTTCAAAAAACAAATTGCTTTTTTCAATGAGATCGATATAAATCTGTGTTTATTTTTTTAGAAAAAGCTTTTCAGTAAAACTTGTGCTCTATGACTTCCTTTCTTTAGTAAGTTGATATTATTGAATTTTGGTTTAAAAATAATCATTTTAACAATCGAAGTAAATGAAGAATCGTAATTTAGTGTAAAAATTTCATCAAAGATTTCACCAATAAGTTCTTATAAGAAAATATTCGAAAAGATGCAAGCATTATAGTTATCAAAATAATAAGATATCAAAACAAAGAGCAAGAGAGATTCATTGATACTAGTCAGGAAGAAATTTTTGATTCTGCTTTTGTTGCTTTTTTTATGTACAGCGAAGTTTGATTAACTTTTTTATTTATTTATTTTATTTTATTTTATTGTATGTAGTATATTGCATCTTGGATGGACCCCTCTTTTACATATTTGGGTCTTATTTTTTAATGTTGTTCTTCAATTTAGTATAGAAAAAGTTTATACAAAGTTGCAACTTTAAAGTGTCAAATCACAAATTTATCTCAAAAATTTATCGAAAATGTTGTTTTAATGTTGAAAAAACACTCTAATCGATCATCTTGACATTGAGATATATGAATTTTTTTTAAAAAAAACGGTTTTGTC